TGTTGATTATTGTAAGCTTATGTAGACTACTTTTTGCCGAGAAGCTTTCAGTTTACTTTTAATCAATTGACCTTTATAGATTATAATTTTAAACTTCATCCAACGGAACAAAATCTACCGAAGTCAATATTAGTACGAACTAAATTCTCATAAACATACTCTTTATAATATTTGTTCGCATGTCAACAAAACTGTTGTAGCTCACATTCCTTAGAACAAAGCATCTACCTTTGAAATAGCAGTACTAGATAATCATTGTCAGCTTCTATATTGCTATTGGAGCTCCGCTATTAGGTGTTACCTAATTTTTATATTAGAATTCAGTGACGTCATCATTTTCCCGCTTTTCTATTCGCGACTCTCCTCATTCGTTCTCGGCCAATCAGAATTGTTTAAGTCGAGATTTGTGCACAATAATAAAGGAAAATAGTTTTATGTTTTGTATCCCTATTTGAGCTGATTCATGATTTTATGTAGTTATTTCGGTTTTATTCTTTACTCTAGTTTTTACCAAACAAAACCGTTGAACCGACGACGTCTGGACTGACTGTTGAAGAAGTTGTTAGTTAACTGTATGTTTCGTATTGTTGAAATATCACTGGGAAGGGGTGGTTTTATTTGTCTCACTGCACAGTTTTATTCAAGCTTACATAGTGCATCACTTATTGACACAATAAAAACTCTTCATTTAGTTATATTGGCAAACCTGATTGATCAGAACTCGATACAATCTATGAACACTGTATGAAACGCCTGCTATATTCGTGCTTTGACTTTGTAGCGAACCTTTACACTGGGAAATAGTTATGAACCTTTCTCGAGTATTCCAAGAATAGCGAATAACTTTCGTTTATGCGTAGTTATGCTTTCGCAACTAGCACAGGGATTCCAGTTCAAAAGAAAACGATTCCAAAACGTATTTTATTGTGTTCGCAGATAGATGAAAAACTACCTCTCAAGATGAAGAGAAATTCAGTAAATCATCGGAAAGGGGATTCAGAAAGTCAAAGGACGGTTGATTCGATGGTTCTAATGGATTATAATGAAACCGGCAGTACAATAGCATTAACAAGTAAAACACGCTGAACACAGCAATTATAAATGGGTTGTAATTAACACAGCAACATGAACTACTATGATTACCACAACGTTCATTTATAGGCACACATGAGGACGAGTTGCATGCAACTACAGTATAAGAAACTCACACAAACTGTCAACACAACATGACAATTTATTCCGATGGAAATTTGCGAAATAATATGGACAAACTACAAACAATTTTCATACTCAAATGTCGATCAAATCTATTTAGAAGTTGTTCTAAGTTTAAGACCTACAATGGCTTAAAATCTATTTCATTTTTGGTCAAGCAAAATATGAAATATTAATAAATATTTCTTAATCACTAGAAATCTTATATATGACTCGCACTTTTGTGTTCCTTGTCTCTCGTTTTGGAGATATTGCTGGTCTCCTGATTCCTTCCAGTCGACCCTCTTGAAAGATCTGATTTACGTTCTAGCTTTTCGTACTCGAAGTGGTACCGGAACATAGAACGAATCTGATCAGAAAAAGGGGAAAGTTACTATAGGCGCTCAGATGACGTTAAATGACCAAGAACTGATATTGGAACCCACCTCCCCCTCCCCTAGACCCGCAAGACACATTTCTGTAGGTGACAATACAACTATATTTGGCTTAAGTGCACTTTTATTGTGGTTTTTACGACCAAACTATCATTCAAAATTACAATATATTTGCATATTACTTATTCGTAACTGTTGTTTTTTTTGGACTTGTACAACGTCGGAGCACTTTACTATTTCGAAACTAAATTTTCCAACCAAATCACGCAATCTTAAAAGAAAATGAATGCTGCGTCATTATCAATTAAAAGTAAGGTAAGTTTCTGTGTTGACGTTCATTGTCTTCACATTGAGTTTTCAAAAATCAAAGTCACAAATTCACATTATCACGGTTGTTGTGTTACTGTCACGCAAGTATGACTTATCGGTTTTTACATCAGAGTAAGAGTAACCTCTCCACACAAGACATTGTTTTGTACTTGATCTTTAAGCTCCGCTTTGACGGTGACTTTTCCCGCGGGGAAAGTTGAATCAATCGATTGCTTTACCACGAGTTCCACATCCTTTCCGCTCGCCAAAGGGCACGTCAAGCCGTGACCAGTACATGCATCCGGGTTTGGAATGGGCAAAGGTATTGGAATAATACCAATGATTGCATATACATAGATTTTACTTTGGGTGACCTGTTCGTGTGGTTTGAAGTTAATCGTCACTGTAGCGTTTGTTCCTCCTCGTTTGAGAGAACAAGGGTCACTTGTACATGGTGTGACGTCCAAAGAAACAATTTCTCCAACTTGAGAGCCACAGTCTTTAAATTTTAGCTTCATGGCCTGAATCGAGGTAACAGCAGCGATAATTACGACCAAAGCAAGGCTAATAGCTGGCTTCATCTTGAGGAATATAACACTTCTGGCAACTTTACTCAAGATAATGAGAAGTATCGATACCAGCTTTCTTCAGTTCCGTCTTATATATGTGCTGGGCTGGGGTGCTGGGCCCCCCGTCAGTTCTATCAGGTGATCATCGTGAGGAGATCTCGTTAGCACATGAAACACAAGATGCATTCCTATTATGGAAGGGGCAAGTCACAAGAGGACTAGATATCTTTTCTCAAACGAAGAAAGGTCATTTTATTACTCGTGACCAGGCCCTTGGCCGGGTCACGAGTCAGAAAATGCAGCGAGTCTAGTTTTGTTTTTTTTTTTTTCTATGTGAGACCTTTGTCTTCGGGCTGACCTTTGCGTCCCGAATGCATATCACATTGCGAACTCGGGTGTACCTTTGTCCCCAATCGCACTCCGATTTCTAAACGAAATATCACATTACGAACTCGGCTGTAAACAAGCGTATCATAGAACAGCAAAACTGCTCGGGATTTACTGTATCTTTTAAACTAACGAGATATAAATCAATACTTCGTAGATAAATGAAGCCCGTGGATGTGTCATACAGCACGCACTTTGAATTGAACAAATATTCTTCAAAACTCGGAATTATCGACTGTTGA